AAAAGAATTTGACATGCAAATAGATGAGGCATATAGAACTCCAAAGAGCCATGATCAAAATAAATCTACACCAAGGCATATAATTATCAAGATCCTAGAAATTCAGCACAAGAACAGAATATTAAAAGCTGTTAGAGAAAAGAAACAATGCACCTACAAAGGAAAGCCCATTAGAATCACAGCAAACTTCTCAACACAAACCCTTAAGTCAAAGACAGCTTCCAGTGAAGTATTCCAGGTTCTGAAAGAAAACAGCCTCCTACCCAGATTGATGTGCCCTGCAAAACTATCTTTCATATTCAATGGAGAAATAAGGTACTTCTTATTCCACAAGAAAGGACAACTGAAGAAATTCATGACTACTAAACCAGCTCTACAAAATGCCCTGAAGGATATTTTAGGAAGAGATAAAGAAGATAACAAGTGCAATAATACCAATAGAAAGAAGCCACAAGGCAGGACAAGCAATTAAACAGATGAGAAAGACAGGGAACCAACAGCAGGAAAATAACATGTCAAGGATAAGTCAATACATTTCAGTTATAACCATAAATGTAAATGGGCTCAACTCAAATCAAATGAAACAGACTGGCAGAATGGATCAAGAAGCAAGATCCAACAATTTGCTGCATATAGGAAACATGTAACTCTAAAAGAAAGTCATAGGCTGAAAGTCAAAAGATGGAAAACAATACTCCATGTGACAGGAACCTGGAAAAAAGCAGGGGTAGCTATTCTACTTGCAGACAAAGTGGATTTCAAGCCAAGACTGATTAAGAGAGACAAATAAGGTTATTACATCCTTGTAAAGGGAAAAATCCAAGAGGAAGAGATAACAATCATAAATATATATGCACCAAATACTAGTGCACCCAACTATGTAAAATAAATACTAATGGACATGAAAAATCAAGTAAGCACTAATATAATTGTAATGGGGGACCTCAATACCCCCACTGTCACAAATAGACAGACCAACTAGACAAAAAATCAACAAAGAAATACCAGAACTAAACCAAACCTGCGAACAAATGGACTTAGTGGATGTCTACAGAGTATTCCACTCCACAACATCAGAATGCACATTCTTTTCAGATGCACATGGGATGTTCTCCAAAACAGATCACATACTACCCCATAGAACATGCTTAAGTAAATGCAAAGGAATTGAAATTATTCCATGCATATTATCTGACCTTAGTGCAATGAAACTGGAAGTCAACAGCAAAAGAAATCACATAAACTGTGAAATATATGAAAATTAAATAACACCCTCCTGAGCAACCAATGGATCACAGATGAAATTAAAGAAGAAATTAAACAGTATATAAAATTAAATGATAATGCCAATACAACACACCAAAACCTATGGGATGCAATGAAAGCAGTCCTAAGAGGAAATTTTATAGTAGTAAGCTCTCACATTAAGAAATCAGAATGAGCAGGGGATTTAGCTCATGGCACCGCACCTGCCTCACAAGTGCAAGGTCCTGAGTTCAATCTTCAGTTGGGGGCGGGGGGATAGAATGAGTGCAAATAAACAACCTAATGTTGAACCTCAAATGTCTAGTAAAAGAAGAACAAATCAAGCCCACAGCTTATTCAAAGGAGGAAATTATAAAGAACAGAGGAGATATTAATGCAATGGAGACTAAAAAACAATACAAAGAATCAATGAATCAAAGCATTGGTTCTTTGAAAGATTAAATAAAATTGATAAACCCTTAGCCAACCTTATCCAAAAAAAGGAAAGAAAATACTCAAATTCATGCAATTAGGAATCAAATGGGTAAAATCACAATGGATCCTGTACAAATCCAGAAGATCATCAATATCTACTTCGAGAACCTGTACTTAATAAGATGAAAAACACAGCAGAAATGGACAGATTCCTAGATACATGAATTAACAAAGCTGAATCATGAAGATATAAAAATTCTAAATAACCCAATATCAGTCAATGACATTGCAAATGTAATTAAAAACCTACCAACAAAGAAAAGCCCAGGCCCTGACAGTTTCACTGTTGAATTATATAAGAAATTGAGAGATCTAATGCCACTACTCTTCAAACTCTTCAATGAAATTGAAAGGGAAGCAATACTCCCAAAATCTCTCCTGGAAGCAAGTATTGCCCTAATACCAAAACCAGAGAAGGATCTAACCAAAAAAGAGAACTATAGGCCAATTTCCCTAATGAACATAGATGAAAAAGTCCTCAATAAGATACTGGCAAACAGAATGCAGCAAATTACAAAAAAGATTATACACCATGACCAAGTAGGATTCATCCCAAGGATGCAGAGATGGTTCAACATATCCAATCAATAAATGTAATATACCATATCAACAGAGCCAAAGACAAAAATCACATGATCATCTCAATCAATGCAGAAAAAGAAAAATTTGACAAAGTCCAACACCCATTCATGATAAAAACCCTACAGAAAATTGGTATAGATGGTCTTTATCTCAATCTGATAAAAGCCATCTATGACACACCAACAGCCAACATCATATTAAATGGTCAAAATCTGAAAGCTTTCACTCTAAAATCAGGAACAAGACAAGGATGTCCACTATCACCACTCCTGTTCAATATGGTTCTGGAAACATTAGCCACAGCAATTAGACAAGAGAAAGAAATAAAAGGAATAAAGATTGGAAATGAAGAAGTCAGATTGTCATTATTTGTGGATGAAATGATACTTTACATAAAAGACCTCAAAAATTCCACCAAAGACTTCTAGATTTAATAACCAAATTCAGTAGCAAAACTGGATACAAAGTCAACACTCAAAAATCAATAGCATTCCTGTACTCAAACAACAAACTCAGAGAGAGAAATTAGTGATAACAATACCTTTCATAATAGCATCAAAAAAATGAAATACTTAGGAATCAATCTTACAAAGGAAGTAAAATATCTTTACATTGAAAATTACAGTACTCTGAAAAAGGAGATCAAAGAGGGTATCAGAAAATGGAAAGATATCCCTTGCTTGTGGGTAGGAAGAACCACTGTATTGAAGATGGCTGTATTCCCAAATTGTTATACAGATTTAATGCAATCCCAATCAAAATACCATTAGCATACCTTACAAAACTAGACAAATCATTCCTAAAATTCATTTGGAATCAAAAGAGATCTAAAATAGCAAAGCAGTTGTGGGCAACAAAGGCAAAGCAGGAGGCATCACAATCCCTGACTTGACATTATACCACAGAGTTTCTGTGCTAAAAACAGCATGATGCTGGCAAAAAAAAAAAAAAAAAAAAAACAGACCTCAAGATCACTGGAACAGACTAGAAGATTCAAAGAACTTCAAATACACTCAGCCACCTTATCTTTGACAAAGGGGCCAAACACGTTCACTGGAAGAAAGATAGGCTTTTTAATAAATGGTGCCAGGAAAACTGGCATCCCACATGCTGAAGAGTAAAACTAGACCCATGTCTCTCACCATGCACTAAACTAAAATCAAAATGGATCAAAGAGCTAAATATTAAAACAGAAACACTTAATCTGCTGGAAGAGAGAACAGGTAGAATGCTTGAGGACATAGGAGTAGGCAAAGACTTCATGAACAAAACCCAGACCACACAGGAAATACCACAAAGAATCAACAACTGGGAGCTTATCTTATTAAAAAGCTTTTGCACAGCAAAAGAAATCACTAACAGGGCCGGGGATTTAGCTCAGTGGTTTCGCCGCCTGCTGTGCAAGCGCAAGGACCCGAGTTCGATCCCCAGTAACAAAAACAAAAACACAAAACAAAGTAATCACTAACAGAGTGAAAAGACAACCCACACAGTGGGAAAAACTTTAGCCAGCAGTTCCTCAGACAAAGGACTAATATCTAGAACATAGAAAGAATTGAAAGAAAATAAGCAACCCAAATTTAAAGACCCAATCCAAAAATGGGCATCTGAGATGAACATACACTTCTCAGATGAAGAAGTAGAAACAGCAAATAAATATATGAAAAAATGTTTAACACCACCGGTCATTTGAGATATGCAAATTAAAACAACACTGAGATTCCACCTCACCCCAGAAAGAATGGCTATTATCAATAAATCAACCAACAACAAATGCTGGTGGGGTTGTAGGGAAAAAAGAATCCTTCTCCACTATTGGTGGGAGTGCAGACTGGTGCAGCCACTGTGGAAATCAGTGTGGAGATTCCTCAAAAAACTAGGATTAGAGGTCCCATTTGACCCAGCTGTTCCCCTTCTGGGTAATATCCCAAAAGAATTAAAAGCATCATACCACAACGATACATGTGCACCCATGTTTATAGTGGCACAATTTATAATAGCTAAATCTTGGAAACAACCCAAATGCCCATCAACTGATGAATGGATAGAAAAGATGAGTTTTAAAAAATATAATGTAGTAAAAAAAATAATAATGTAGTACTATTCAGCTATAAAGGATAAACTTGAGACATTTCTAGGTAAAGGAGCGCACCTTGAGACCATACTCTAAAGTGAAATAAATTGAACACACATTCATAAATATCACATTGTCTCTCTGCTGTGAGAAACTGAAAGTGAAAATAAGGGCCAAAAATAATGATAAATATCATGAAATTGGAAGAAATTGTTCAAAATTATACAGAATGTGAGATACTTTGTCAACACTTAAATGTTTTATGCATAAAAGGTATAGTATTAAGAAATGAGCTGAGAGATAGATTAGTCAATGAAAATATATTCTTTTAAGGTCATGATTCAAAGTGTATTCACCATGGTTATTCTCTAACAATCTTTGTTATAAAAATTATTTTTTCATAGACTGGCTTTTATAATATCTACTTGTGATTCATTAAAATAAAAAAATTTTAAATCCAACAGAATTACAAAGAAAAGGAAATAGTTCTGTAGTTGGAGACTCAATTCTCTATTCTCAGTAATGGATGAAACAGCCAGACAGAGATAAGTAAAGAAACAGAGACCTAAACAACATCACAGCTGAGCAGACCTCACAGACTCACCCTGTGCGGAACACTCTATCCAACAGCAGCAGCGTGCACATTCTTCTCAGGTGCACACAGGACAGTTTCCAGAATGGACCACATGTTAGGCCGTGAGTTAAGACTTAATACATTTTTTCAAAAAGATATATTTCATACGAAGTATCTTCTCCAGCCACCACAGAATGAAGCTAGAAATCAATAACAAAAGTAACCCTGAAAACATAAATTTATGGAAATTAAATGCACTCTTAACCAATTAATCAGAAAAGAAGTCACAAGAAAAACTGTAACACTTAGAGATGAATGAAATTAAAAACACAACATATCAAAATTTATGGACACAACAAAATCAGTGCTAAGAGGAAATTCATAGCTATAAACACTGCTATGGTTTAACTCTAAAATGTCCTCCAAAGTCTCATGTTGAAGCTGGCTGAATGGGGGCTATTCTCATCAGTGGATTGGTCTGCTGATGGTTTCATAGCTGATTTGCTGTTAGGAGGTGGGCCCTGGTTAGAGGTGGTCACTGCGTGTGGCCTGGAAGGGTGTGTTCTTGTCCCTGGATCCTCCTTCTCTTTCTCTGCTTCCTAGTAGCCATGGGTGAGCAGCTGTCCTCTGGCATGCTTTCCGACCATGCTATTTCTGCCTTAGAGCCAGCCAACCATGGGGTGAACCTGTTGGAAATTGTGAGCCAAATACTCTTCTCCTCTTCTAAGTTGTGGGTGTCAGTAATGGGACAGCTGACTAATACAAACCTTGCATTAAAAAAATAAGAAAGATCTCAAATCAACAACCCAACTTTGCAACTTAAGAAATAAGAAAGAGAAGAGCAAACTAAACCTTAAAGCTAGCAGAGGATAATAGATAATAAAGAGTAGCAGAGTAAATGAAGTTATAGAATAGAAAAGTAAGAAAAATCAAAAGGTTTTTTTTGGAAAGATTAAGAAATTGATAAACCATCAGCTAGATGGATTAAGAAAAAAGAGAAGATTTACATTACTAAAACCAGAAGTGAAAATGGGGATATTACTACCAATTCTAGAGAAACAGGATTCTATGAGAACAGTTCTATGGCAATGAGTTAGATAATTTCAATGAAATGAAAGTTGCTAAAAGATGCAAAACCAACCAAGACCAAATTATAAAGAAAGAGAAAATCTAAACAGGCTTATAACTAGTAAGGAGATGGACTCAATAACCAAAAAACTAATGACCAAAAACTAAAAAGCCAGACCTGAGGACTTTACTGGTAAATTCTACCAAACATTTAATGAACACTTAACAATAATTCTCAAGCTACCCCAAAAAATTTTTGAAGAGGAGGGAACAATTTCTAATTCATTCTATGCGGCTGGCATTATACTGAGAGCAAAGCCAGCCAAAGACATTATGAGAAAACTACAGGAAAACATCCCTTATGAATATTTATGCAAAAATCTTCAACAAAATACTCGCAAACCAAATCCAGCAGCACATTAAAGGATTATACATTACAACCAAAAAGGATTTATTCTTGAATACAAGGATAGGTTAACATATGAAAATTGATCAGTTAGTATACCATTTTAATAGAACAGAGGGAGAAAACTAGAGCATCTTAATGCAGAAAAAGCATTAACAGGGCCGGGGATTTAGCTCAGTGGTTCTGGCGCCTGCCGCGCAAGCACAAGGTCCCGAGTTCAATCCCTGGTAGAAAAAAGAAAAAAAGCATTAACAAAACCCAACATCCTTTCATGATTAAAAAAACACTCAATAAATTAAGGTTAGAAGGAAATTATCTCAGTGTAATAAAAACCATATATGAAAACCCCACAGAGATCACATTATATGTTCAAAGACTGAAATTTTTCCATCTATGATGAGGAAGAAGGTAAGGATTCCTACTTTCACTTTTATTCAACACAATACTAGAATTTATAGCCAGAGCAATTAGGTAAAGAAAAGGAAAAAATCCAAATTAGAAAGGAAGTAGTAAAATTATCTCTGTTCACAGATGCTATCATCTGAAAAATTCTATGTAGAAAACCCTAAAGATATCAACCCCCAAATATTTTAATAAATGAATTCAGCAAGGTAACTGTATACAAAGTCAATACACATTCATTCCATTTCTATATACTAACAATGAACAATCTGAGAAGGAAATTATGAAAACAATTCCATCTATAGTAGTATCAAGAAAGAATAAACTACTTAAAATTCACAAGGAAATACATAAGAGATAAGTACAATAGAAACTACAAAACAGTCTGGGCTGGGTTGGAACTCAGCCTACCATGCCCCTGGGTTCAATTCCTAGCATCCAAAAACAAACAAATAAGCAGAACTACAAAACACTGTTGAAAGAAATTACAGACATCAATTAATTAAACATATCCCATTGTTCACAGATTAGGAGATATTATTGTTAAGATGCCCATTCTACCCCAACCAATCTATAGATTCAATAAAATTCCTATCAAGATCCCAATAAAGTTTTTTACACTAGTAGAATCAAAAAACAATCCTAAAATTCATATAGAATTTCAATAGCCCCAAATATCCAAAACAATCTTAGCTGTAACTTGGAGGACTTACATATTCTGACGTGAAAACTTTCTATAAAGTTATAGTAAAACAGTGTGGGGCTAGCATAAAGACAGATGAAATAAAGAGCCTAGAAATAAACTCTCAGTTGGTTGTGGTGGTGCACACCTGTAATCCCAGCACTCTGAGAAGCTAAGGCAGGAGGATTGCAATTTCAAGCCCACTCTGGGAAACTTAGCAACTTAGTGAGACCCTGTGTCAAAATAAAAATAAAAAGAGCTGAGGATATAACAGGATGCAAAGAACCTAGGTTCAACTCCCAGTATCTCAAAAAAAAAAAAAAAAGTTCAAAGCCAAAAACTCTTACATATATGGTCAAATGATTTTGACAAGGATCCAAGACTATTTAACGGGCAAAGAACAGTCTTCTAAACAAATGGTGCTGGGAAAACTGGATATCCACGTGGAAAAGAAAGAACTTGGACTCTTATGTAACACCTATAAAAATTCACTCAAAATGGATCAAAGATCTAAATAAAAAACCTACAACTATAAAACTTTTAGGAGAAAACATAGGGGTAAATTCCTGTGACACTGAATTAAGCAACAATTTCTTGGATATGACACCAAAGATGCAGGTAATCAGTGACAAAAACAAACAAAGTAGACTTCATAAACATGAATCCAAAGACAGTACTGACAGGGTGAAAAGGTATCCCACAGAATAAGAAAAAATCTTTGTAAATCATATATCTGATAAGAGTAATATCCAGAATGTACAGAGAACCACTAAAATTCAGCAACAGAAAAATAGGTCACCAATTCAAAAAATAGGCAAAGGACTCAAATAAACATTTGTTAAAAGAGGATAAACAACTGGCCATTAAGCATTTGAGAACATTCTTAGCATCATCTAAGAAATGCAAATCAAAACTACAGTGAGATACTACTTCATACCCATTAGGACAGCTACTACCCAGACAACAGAAAAGCTGTGTGAATACACTTGTGTCCAGGCACTTGCTTATAATCCCAGCACTTAAGAGGCCAAGGCAAGGAGAATCCTGAATTTGAGGCAAGCTTAGGCTACATAGGAGACCTTTTCTGAAAACAAATTAAAAACAGATAATAAGTATTGATGAGATGTGGAAAAATAGAACTATATTCTTGGTAGAAATGTTAAAATGGTATGGCTATTGTGGAAAATGTGATTATTCCCTCAAAAAATTAAAAGGAGAACTATTATATAATCCAGAAGTTCCATTACTGGATATAAGCCCAAAGGAATTGAAAGTTAGATCTCAAGGAAGAAAATGCAGTCTTAAACATCTCCAATCATGTTCATAGCAGTAATGTTCACAGTAGCTAAGACATAGAAACAATCCAAGTATAAGCTGGTGGATAAGTGGATAAGCAATCATATACAGCAATCCTTATAGAACAAGGACATTGTGGCATATGCTACAACATGGATGAACCTTGAGGACATTATGTTAAGTGAAACAATCGTCACAGAAGGGCAAATGCTGCATGAATCCATCTATATAGGTACTCAGAGCATTCAAGACCACATGGAGAGAAAGCAAAATAGTTGCTGCCAGGCACTGGGGGAGGAAGGAATGGGAAATGATTGTTTAATGGGTACAGAGTTTCAGTTTTATAAGATGAAAAGGAATAATGGCTATCATCAAAAAACAAATAACAAATACTAGCAAGGCTTCAGGGGAATAAAGGAAACTTCTACATTATTAGTGGGAATGTCAAGTAGTACAACCACTATGGAAATCAGTATGGAGAATCCTTCAAACACTAAAACTAGAAATTCCACTTGACCTAGGTATTTCCCTTCTAGGTATCTTCCTGAAAGAGTTATCATATTACAGTGATACATGCATACACATGTTTAGTAAAATTCATAATAGCTAAATCTTGGCCATCAACAGGTGAATGGATAAAGAAAATGTGGTATTTAGGCTCAATGGCGTATTACTCTGCCATAAAGATTTGTAGGACAATGAATGCACCTTGAGACCATAATGCGTTTTTTTTTTTTTTTGGTACCAGGGATCAAACTCGGGACCTTGTACTTGCAAGGCAGGCAGCAGCACCACTAAGCTAAATCCCCGGCCCCCTTGAGACCATATTAAATGAAATAAATCAGACAACAGGCTTAAATATCACATGGTTTCACTTATATGAGAAATGTAAATTATAAATAAAAAGCAAAATAAAAGGTGGATAATAGGAAGTAGGGAGCTAGATCTTTCTCAAATGGAAAGGGGATCAAGAAATGGGGGGGGATAAAAAAAGAATTATGTTCCTGCACCAACTCTCCACAAGGAATGTAATCATTACGTACTGCAAATATGTATTAATAAAAAACACCCAAGATGAACAGAGCTGTGAAGATGATGTTGGTGAATATTGTGCAACATTATGAATGCATAAAACACCAGTGAACTGTACACTTTAAAGCAGTTAAGATGGTAAATATGTCTTTTACAATAAAAAAATCGGAATAAAAAATTAAATCATAAAATACTGTATTATTGTAAAAAAAAAACACAATCACAACCACCAAAAACCCCCTAATGACGTGGGTTCCCAGAGCTGTGGGAAAATTTAAAAAGTATCAATTCCTTTTTTGGACCATGAGAAGCCACTCAAGAGAGGTTCAAACATTAATAAGAAATCTTTTTAGTGCCGTTACTTTATGGACTGTGAGATCAGCAGTTTGGACTCCAGTTCTGATAATATCATCAAAATATTACTGCTGACCAGAAATGCCACTATGGCTATGAAATAATTCATGTTGCCTTTAAGGTGCATGTTGATCACATTTGATGACACATTGAAGACTGCAACATTTATTAGTGCAGTTTGAGGCAAAGGGATACCGCAGGAGATACCTAATCCAGCCTGTGTGTCCTAGAGAAAATAACTTCTTCTTCAAGCCTCAGTTTCTCTTTCTGTAAAATGTAAAGTAAGATATTTGAAAGATGATTGGGAGTATTAAATGAAACAGGTCAGGCATAGGGTTAGTACTATCATGGTGGTCATGCTCTGCTTCTACTTCGAAGAAATTGCTAATTTCTAAAAAGGAAACTTTCTCTCTCTTTACTTTCAGTACAACACCTGCCATGCAATCTTCTATTCTCATCTCTTTTCAATTTTAGTAGACTGCAGAACAGTGATTCTAGACTCCTGCTGCTGTAATCAAATAGGACTGTGTAAATTGTTGAGGCTGTGTAATCCTGTTAAATCAAGAAATATTCCCTCTTACAAATAATCTTTAATCTCAAACACACCAAAAGCAACACTGGATGTCGTTTTCACTTCTGCTGACTAGGGATGAAGACCAAAGCCAACAGTGACCACCATTATCTGAGAGCTGAGGTGCGCTCTGACTTACTGGACTTGGTTGAGACCTCAGTCTTTGCCTCCATGGGCCTGCTCTGTAGCAAAGCTCCCACGGCACGAGTGACAGTTGGTTCTTTCCTGGGACTCGCCTGAGCCCTACCCTACAGAGAGAGAAAGAGACACAGCACAGTATTGTAACTTCAAGTACCAACTGGAGCTAAAGCTCTTTCTACTTCACCAATAGCAGATTAGAGTCATCTGCAGGGACAGGGGACAGATATCCACCTTGCACCTCGGTTCACTGGGTCCTGTCCCCACCCCCACCGGTGCTCAAAGCCATATCTGAGTTTTGGAGTTTTCATCCCATAATCAAGCCTTTGGAGTTGGTGGTGGTATGTTTATCCTGTGAAATTAGTTGTGATCAGAAATCACTTCATGTCAGTAAAGATACAGTTGTGAAACATTTTATTTTTTTCATTAACTTTAAGATGATTTTGTTTTCTAACATGAGCAGAGAAGAAAAACAGACTGGCTGGCAGCAAATGTTTTCAGCATGGAATTTCAATGTCCCTGGCTTATCTCAGTCCCCGCAGAGCAGCAGCAGAATGGTGGTATTAGCATGAGATAGGCCCAAGAGACTTCTAATGAGCTCCCCAAAGGAGCTGCTCCCCCACCTCCAGTCCTACACCAGCTACAGTAAGAGATAACCTGTTACACCTCGTGAGAATGCCCCCCCCCCGAAAAGGGTGGCTGTGAGATTACAGCAGGCAGTTCATCCCCATCCAGAGAAAGCTATTTTTAGAGGCCCGTATTGGTCTCCTTTGGTTAAGGATATGACACATTTTAAAAGTTGATTATGTTTAAAATGGAAACACGTTGAACAGCCCTCCAACCCCTCCCTTCTTGCTCCATTTCTGAAGGAGTGTCGCTATTAGTCAGGGCCCCAAAGTGGGGATGAGACACTTTAAGTGAGCAACGGAATTCAGAAAGCAAGTAAGTTCTCTTCTGCATTCCCAGTCATGGCTCAGCTCTGGAAAGCAAGGAGAGGAACAGTGCCAAGTCACTGGCTACGCTTCGGACAGCCAGCTAGCTCTCTTCAGGGCTAAGAAACACCTCTGTTTGCTGCTTCCCTGGGCCCTCTTTTGCCCCAGGAATGCTGATAACCCTGTAGAAGAACCATTTGCAGAAGTGTAACTTGTCCCCTGCTGCTTTACAAAGTGAAGGGAGAGTTCACTTAAGAAACATCTCCAAAATTAGATTGGATTCAAGCCCAAAGCAGGCATCACCCCTCAAAACTGTGATCCGAGACCTACCAAGAAGGAAGGGCTATGGATGGGGAAAGGGCAGGTGATGCACAGAGAGAAAAGGTGGGAGCACCCCGCGTAAAGCACTGAGCTAAGCACCTTATTTATACTGACTATGATCTGATAATCTGGCAAGAAACACACACTTAACCCTACTTTACAGATTAAAGTAAATCTCAAAGGATTTATCTACAAAAATGAATTATAGGATTGACAGTCAAATTCTAACTCCTTATCACAGAATCCTGGTTCTTCTTTTTTGAGGTACTAGGAATAAAACCACTGAGATACATCACCAGCATTTTTGTATTTTGTTACAGAGTCTCACTAAATTGCCCAGGCTGGACTTGAACTTGTCATCCGCCTGCCTCAGCCTCCAGAGTAGCTGGGATTACAGGCGTGCACCACCACACCCACTGAATCCCGCCTTTCTGACATTGCACTGTTTTCCACGCTATTTCAGGAGTAAAGACTGAAACCCTGAAAGTCTGTCATCACTGCTGCCTCCTAACACACATACATGATGGCCTCTGTGTTTACAGTACAGGTTGAACCCCCTAACCCAACACTCTGTAATCTGAAATGTTTTAAAACCAGAAACTTTTCTGAGCACTAACTCGACTGACACCACAGTGGAAAATTTCACACCTGAAATCACGGGTTATGCTGTGATCAAAACACAGGCGTACAAGAAATATTGCATAAAATTACTTGACTGCACATTTAGACTTATGTCCATCCCAAGATACCTATATCTATATCTATATCTGCAAGTATTCTAAAATCCAAGAGTTTCAAACCCTAAAACACTTGTGGTCCCGAGCACCTTAGATAAGGGATACAGACCTCTCTCAGCATCCGACAGACCAGGCTCAGATGCCTACTTCTCCCCTAGCGGGAATCATCTCTTCCACTGATGATTCCTCATCCTCCTACGTGCACCTTGTTGGTACTCTGACTCTGGGACCTCATTTCCCCTGTTGCCGTGGCACCTTCCTCATTTCTCACAATCCACCTTGCACAGTAATTACAAAAGTGACCTTTCTAGAAAGCCAATGCCATGTCACTCCAGTTTCCACTGGTCAGCCAGTTGACACTGCATATACGTGACACACGAGGTACCTAGGAGACAAGTGGACAGAAGAGCCAGGAAAGTCCGAGTGCAGAGAGCAAGGGCAGAAGCGCAGTGGGAAGGAGTACAGGGTGACAAGGGGGAGGACTTTCCCTTTTCCAGGCTGGCTGTCTTCATATTGTAGGGATTCTGTCCGATGCATGCCTTTTTTCCTTCCATCTGAACTGGTTTGTGTTAAAGCCTCTCTAGATAAGCTGCCCACTTTGCCTGTCCCCTCCTGTTCCTCAGGCCAGAAGCTAGACATTTGCACATACTGCCCTTCCAACCTCTAGATTGTGGCTAGCGAGCTCACTTTGAATCTTACGGGGCAAATGTTTGCTTGTCTTTGAAGATACCCAGGAATCCTCTCCACAGATCTCCTCATCAGTTAAACCACTGCATCCTGTATTGTTTACAAGTCTCCTTTGAATTACAAATCCCTGATAAACCAGTACTAAAATGGATGGTCTAGGTCTGGTACATGGTAGATACTCACTCAATAACTGTGAGAGAGAGAGACAGAGAGAGAGAGAGAGAGGGAGGGAGGGGGCTCGGAATCCATTGTGTGTAGGATATGCTTGTGATAGAAAGGGTCACACCCCTATTAGATGCTGGATTTAACTGAAGGATTTCTAAATAAGCTGAAGGCTCAAAGTATTCAGGACCAATTTAAAACTTTTCTTGGAGGCTGAGCCATGCTTATGACACTAATGGCTTTTATACTATACTATGAGTTATGTCCCTGTGACTTTGATGTGTACGGAGCTATCTGCTGATCCTGGTCCTGTCTGTGCCTATAAAGCTATTGTTATCCCGCTCAGGTAGACATTTTACTTATGTGCACCTATTTGTAACAGTGGCTTTGATTCATCTGCATACCCCTTTAATTTGCTGATTGTGTGGCTTTGAATAAAAGCTTGAAGACTCCAGCCCCACAGACCAGAATGCATGACCCACATGTGGGGCATCTTTCCAGGGAAGCCCCATCCAGGCCAGTTCCACTCAGAGTCCTAATTCTTCTCTGGATGGTTTAGGCTGATGATTACAATCAGATAAACAGGGTTGTATCACAACATCATAGAAACACTTTTTAAATATCCCAGTCTTCATCCTAAGAGACCTCAAACTGACTGTCTGTCTGTCTGTCTGTCTATCTATCTATCCACCTATCTTTTTTAAACACCCAAAGGTGCTAACTAGAAAGCAAGTCCTGCAAAGATGATTCCCAAAGAAGTGAGGGTGGTCGGCTCTCTTGAGTCTTGAGAAACCTAGCTGAGGAACCCTAGCAAATCCTCCCTGTTTCCCCCAGGTGTGCAAGGACACAAAGCCCACACCTGGATATTTACCTGAGCTCTGGAAGCCAATTTAGCTGCAGTCTGAGCTGGATCAAAGACTCGGCGAGAAGACTGATCTTTGCAGAAATTAATATGCCGACCGGCTGCGGTTTCATTAAATCTCCTCATACAATATGGGCATTGGATATAATCTAAATGTAAAAATAATAGCAAAAAACAATTAACAATTCAGAAGAAAATATGGAATAGACTCTATGAAATAAGTAGAATATGAACTGTGTCCCAGTATGAAAGGACAAGGTCCCAAACTGATTTGAGACAGAGTGGGGGGCAAGGAAGGGAATCACATAAAGGATGTGGCAGGAAAAATTTTACTCCCTAAGCACTCATTTCAATGAAGAGTATGCCCGTAAGTGTGTATGTGGCATCCGTCCTTAGACAGTAGATCCATTACACTTAGGAACTTCCCAGTTAAATGGATTATGTATTGAATCCTCATATAAAGGAAACAGCCCAGAAATGGGAGCATGTTAGTATTGATGGTGTGGAAGAGCACAGAAAATCCAAACTGAACCATAGGATATGGTACTGGGTGAGACAGGAGGTCATAAAGAAATTACGGGAGAAATACAAGAGGAGATAAGATTTCATTTCAAAATATGGGTTTGGGGGTGAGATTAGAAGGTAATGTCACTCTGTCACTCGTGGAAAGAAACACTGCTTTAGCAGCAGCTAGATTTGTTTCACTTTGCAAGGTGAGGAGGCAAATGATATATTCAGGAAAGTAAAAGGATAACAGATGTTAGGGATCAAATAACAGGAGAAGGAACAGAGGAAAGGTGATGGGAAAATGGCTTCAGCCCCAGCTTCTGTTTATGGAGATGCAAATTCCATGCAGCTCCTTTTGGCCCTGTAAGTCCTTTGGGATTCTGCAAAATAACTTTGTGTCTGAATGTTTCCTTCGTTTGCAATGATCAGACATGACAGGCTAGCAAGAGAAACGGAAAGTGAGAAAGGGAAAGAGGCAGGTCTTCTTGGAATGTGGAGCTGTTTGTAGCAAAGCTAGGTCAGCGCCTCCTCAATCTGGAGCAGGCAGGTAAGGGGTTTGCTTTGTTTTGCCCCAGGCAACTTTAAGGGATAACGAAGGGGATACGAGTGACCAAAGAGAACCTCTCCCCCAAGGTTCTGAGACTGCATTAACGTTAAACTCAAGATAGAAGTTTAGATTGGTGCAGTTTGGGGAGTTTTCTATCTGAACAAATCATTCCTAATATTCCTAAAAGGTAAGGATTGTAAAGACTTAGATATTATGTAGTAGCCTTGTCCGTTATTTCACATTCTGGGAGGCAATACTTAACCATGCACACTGAACACCTCACTGGTGGTAGGCGGCTGTATATGGGGGTGCCATGCTGCTCAGTCAAGGAGTCTGCATTCTCACAAAACCAAAAATTCCCACCACCATAAATGCCTTAAAAATAACAAAATGAGACAGGACCGTGTTGGGAAATGAGCCAGTGCTTAGGTTCTGGAGCCTGCCTGACTGGTTTGGAGCTTTCTGTGCTTGTGAACTGGGGCAGGTTCCTCAGCCTCCTCAAGCTGTCTCCTCAGCACCATTCATACCATCTATTTCCCTGGGCTGCTGTAAAAGCGAACTATGATCATCCCCATGGGAGCTTGGCATGGTAAAAAACACCAAGTGTTTTAAAATGCTAGCTCTAGGCCGGCAAGGTTGTCTTTCCAACTACCAAACAGGAAGGAGTGCAACTGGTTAGGAAAAAACTAACAATGAAAGTGCCATGATAATTCAGAACTCATTAACAATGCTGGAGAAAAACCGCATAGAACTTGGTGCTCAGTGGGGTGGTTATTTCTTCAGTTTTTATCAGCTAGGAAAGTCTTATGTCAGAAATCCTGCTGCCACGAACCCTACTCGGATCAGGCAAAGACATTGACCATGGCAATTCTGAGCTGCTTCCTCAGCCCCACAAGTTCAGCCATCCACAGTCACCCCTCCACGTATCTAACATGACACACCACCACAAGGGTGGCAAAGTTCAAGTATACTACCCTGCCAACAAAAGTATCAGGGGTGATGAGGCAGACAGACAATTGCCCCTTGGTAGGATAAGCTGCTGGGGCAGGGGGTGGAAGCCGGAGCCTTCTGGGGTCCATGGGAGGGATGGGAGGCCCAGGCATAGGTTGAGGGTGGGACTGCAGATGCATTTATGTTGAATGTCAAACATTCTGAGAACAGAGACTGTAGTTAGCAAACATCTAAATGTGGCCCACTGAGCTACACGTTCTATCCTCACTCAGAGTTACCTTTCTTTATATGTCAATACAGCTTTTATAAAAATTACTATGTCCTATGTATTTCAATAGAGATGATTTCAAAAGGCAGACTACAAATGGATTCTTATGAGGAACATAGTGGCCAGGTCTCCTACAAAATTAAAGTAGAAACATAAGCATCATTTTTAAATGCGACATTGAGACCCCTGTGAAATAGTGACCAAATGTCTCAGGCCTCACAGAATAATCCCAATTATATATACTTTACATCACCATCCCTATAAAGTATCACAACATCTGGGAAATTTAAATCATCCTCAGATTCGGTTACATCAGTGAGAAGAGGAATACATATATGTGTGTCACAAAAACTGAGTCATGAAAATAGGGAATCATGCTGAAAGAAGGAGGAATTACTTGCATTCACAGGCTTATTAGGTCATATTATATATAATTCTAATCGAGAGTGTGCATGGATTTTCTAGTACTTCATCCTGAAAATATTGTATAATATAAAATCCTTGCACAATCAAAATAGTCAAGTCATGATGAAAATGTGCTATTGTATAGAATCACTTTACTTTTTGCAGATAGTTATAGTTAAGTGCACAAGAAAGAATTTAATTATTAAACCATATTTTGGCATAAAAATGTGAAAGAAAAATAAATTGAACATGCTATGAGGCCTTGCAAGGGGAAATAGTTTTTTTAAAGAAAATAATCCACACATTTTAGATCCAACTTTGTAATAAGAAAAATTCACACAGGACAACATTTGACATGGTTTCACTTATTCAATTAAAGGACCATAAGATAGCCCTCTCCTGTGTAGCTTCTGATTTTAAAATAAAGCTATTTCTCATAAAAGGTGTTTTTTTTGTCCCATGAAATTTACTTTCACGTTACTAAAATTGTAGCCGCAGGTTTTTCTACTGAACTTCTCAATACTGCACATTATTTTAAGCTACATTTTCATCACTACTCAGTAAAAGTGAAAGCAATTCTGCAGATTATTTTATGATACAGAAGTTCAGATCTTGTGTGCATTAGGAAATTTTTTTAGTATGCTCTCACTGTGGCATTTTGTTTTTGTACTTCTTCAGATGAATCTGAGGAATAATTTACACACAATAAAATTTATCTATGTTAAATGTACAGTTTGACAAATGTATTACTCTGATTAAAATACAGCACATTTTCATCACCCTCAAATTTCCCTCAAGCTTTATTTCAGGCAGATACCTCTGGACCCACCCTCCCCTTTCCTGTCATCATGCATAAGTTTCACTTGTTTCATATAATAGAACATCCATCCTGCATGTGTAGCCTAGTAATATTCCACTTTGTAAACATTCCACAATCTGCTTATCCATTTAGTTGTTGATGGATACTTGCAGTTGTTTCCAGCTTATGCTACATAAATAAAGCTATGAACATTCATGTATAAGTCTCTTTCATGGAGATTTTTTTCTTTGCAAAAATACCTAAAAGTACAATTGTTACACAGATTAAATGTATGTTTGAGAAAACACTAGTGCAAAGTGGTTTATTTTGTATCATTTTGTGACCTGTCTGTTCAAATACATCTCTTGTCCTTTTCCTAGAGATTCGCGCCATTATTGAGTTGTGAAAGTTTTGTCTTATTTACTTATTTGATGGTACTGAGGACTGAGCTACACCTCCAGCCCTTTTAATTTCTTATTTTGAGACAGGGTCGTGTTAAATTTATGTGTTGCCTAGGTTGAGTTTGAACTTGTGATTCTCCTGCCGCAGCCTCCTCATGTGCTGGGAGTAAAGGTGTGCCACCATGCCTAGCTGTGTTCTTTATATATTCTTGACATGAGAGCCCTTTTGCAAATATATATATATGTTCTCAATATTTGCTCCCAGCCTGTAGGTGGCCTTTTCTTTCTTACTGGTATCTCTCAAAATGTAAATTTTTATTTTTCATAAAGAACAATTTACCAAGTTTCTTTAAAAAAAAACTGTTAGGGCATCTGTGTCCTGCCTGAGAAATCTTTGTTCACCAATTTTTTACTTTTTTCTAAAATTTTTATGTTGTAACACTAAGGTAAATGATGCATTTTGAGTTAATTTGTATATATGTTGTAAGAATCAGGGTTCATTTTTCCCACATGGATGTACTCTTGCTCCAAAATTATTTGGAATCATTTCATATGACTATCCTTCTCTTCTATTTAATTATCTTAGCATCCTTTTAAAAGACAGGTTGCCTAGAGAATGAGGGGGGGTCTATATCTAGATTCTATTTTATTTTCAATTGATACACCAATACCAAATCATCATGGCTACTGTACTGCTACAGTAAATCTTGATGTTAGATAGCCAAGATTTTGTGCTTTTTGGGTTTTTTTTCCAAAACAATTTTGGCTACTACAAATCCTTCCATTTTCTACACACTTTTAGAATCAGCTGGCCAGTTCTGCCTCGACAGAGAAAACATGCAGGTATTTCTATTAGAATTAAATTGAATCCACAGGTCAATTTGGGTAGAAATGCATCACAATGCTGAATCTCCCAAACCAGGAAAATAATAAATCTTGCCACTTATTTTGGTCCTTTTTAATTCTTTGAAGGAATGTTTTGTCCTTTTCATTTTACAGGTCCTGCACGTATTTTTTTTACAAAGTTTTTATTTTTACTGGCACATGTGTGCAGCACATAATGATGACATTCTCATGTGGAGTTGGTACATGTGCATAAGACATCTCAATTCTTTCTTTCATCCCTTTCCCTTGCCTCCTCTCACACTCCATCTCTTAGGTCCTATACATTTTTGCTAAATATATTCCAAAGTATTTAATTTTTATGTTCTAGTAACCAGTATTTTAATTTTCATTTTTAAATAGAAATACAACTCACTATGTATACTTTT